TCAAGTTAACGTGAGGGTTCACATTTGGAAACGATTAGTTGTGGTTGTCCAGTCTCTGTGAAACGCGTCACTGCGGCCGTCATCCTTCTGTCTTTTAGCCTACACCTCACTTGGCTGTGTTGTCAGCATCTTATACCTCTAACGTATAATATCTACAATGTGTGTTTTGTTCATTTTGAGCAACTCATCAACATTTGTATCAATAAATATGCTCCTTTTCAAGTGGTCACAAAAACTATTTAGTTATACACAGTTACAGTATGTACAGTACTTGTACACAGCCAAATGCCAAAGTAGAATTGAGAATCGTTTGGGAATACAAAAACAGAAACTCTCCCATTACACTTCACAATAACCCCTGGAGAAAACAAAGGAACAATAAATAAATTAAAATAATAAAGAAGAATTTAAAAAGGTTTATACCAGATATGGCAGACTTAAATCTTACCTGAAAGTTTCTCTTTTTTGTTAATATCTCTACCCCCTGGTGGTAGAAATAAGGTCAGAAGGTTCCCACAATCACTGTCAAGAAATAATCTCAGGACCTTGGATTGTTGTAGCAAATTTCAGGCAACCTGGTTTGCAATTACTGAGCATTCTTGTTCAGAACTATGCTCTGGACAAAACTGTCAGACTAACTGACTGTGCTTTTGTTAGTTGCTCAGAGCACGTGTACGGTTACTTTTGATCAATATGTGTGTGTAGCCAAGCACCCTTAATACTTGATATCTCAGTAATAACTAAGCTTCATGTTAGATACAACAACTTTACCAAAGTTCTTCCATCCTTCTCACCTATCTTCAGGCGAGAGGTAGAGACTGATCCTAATTCAGGATTTGAGACATCGGACTGCTCCCAGTCTCAGCTCAATGACTACAACAGCGTGGTTCAGTGTGGAGCCCTGTCTGATCCCAATGGACCGTTTGCTGCCTGTCATGCTGCCCTAACACCCACAACCTACCAGAAGTGAGTAATCTGTGTGTGTGGTGGCATGTGGAACTGTCCACTGGAGAGTTTCAGTGCCATTTTAATGTGTGCATTTACAATAGAACATATTATGTGGTTGTGAGAGTCAGCATACTCACTGTGCGTGTGTGTGTTTGTTCCTCAGTGACTGTGTGTTTGACCTGTGTGCCGAGAGTGGCAGTGCAGCGCTGCGTTGTGCCAGCTACGAAACATACGCTGCAGCCTGTCAGGAGGCTGGAGTCAACCTGGGACCATGGAGGCAGCAGCTGGACTGTGGTAAGATGCTGAACATACAATGCATTCACATGAGTTATGAGCAGTCTGCAGGGTATAGACACCTACAGTGCTTTTCTTTAGAAACTACTGCTGCTTGTTATGAGTGAACTGTTTAAATAATCAAACCAGACAGGTTTGTGACTTCCCTCTCTCTCTCTCCCAGCCCTCTCCTGTGCTCCTAACAGCAACTACTCCCCCTGTATGTCCCCCTGCCCTGCCTCCTGTGCTGACCTGGCAGCACCTTCTGAGTGTGACATCACTTCCTGTGTGGAGGGATGCCAGTGTGCCCAGGGCTTTGTCATGAGCGAGGGAATCTGTGTGCCATACACACAGTGTGGCTGCACCTTCCTCAGCAGATACTACCCAGTAAGCAGCCTTATGGCACACATACACCACTGACTGTGTATATCACTGTGTGATGATGTAATCCCCCTCTCCCCCTCTATCTTGCAGCTGAAAGAAAAGTTTGTGACTGAGGATTGTTCTCAGTCCTGTGAATGCACCAGCACTGGCGCCGCGTGCCAACCAAAAACCTGCCAAGACGGCTACGTCTGCACCATCTACGACTTCAAACGTGACTGCTACAAAGGTGAGTGTCCATGTGTTTATGAGAACAGCTCTCCAAAATTCAATCATTTACCCAAGTTCAGTGTAAACTCACAGGCCAAATTTACAGTAGCCACAATAACCAACAGAAATCAACACCAAACAGAATCATGGTAAACTCTCCAAGAACACATAAAAAATAAACTGTACATATTTTTTTTGCAAATGCCTGTGATGTAAATATTTCCTGATAGTACATAGTAGTTACAAAAATATCAAACATTTCATTTTGGAAGTAAAACTGCAACTGCAAAACTTAAAAGTGACTTCACAATCAGCCTCAGAGCAAAACTCTGGCTGGAGTCAAGCTCAAGCCTCTGGGTGACAGCATTGCATTTTGTACCTTTGCCATCCTCCCTACTCCCTCTCTGTCTGCTGCTGCTTCTGTAGTGAAATGTAGCACTTCATTCATTCAAGAATTACCTTACATCAGAATATAATCTAATAATCAATTACATTCCCTACAAAATGTATCAGTTTGCAGTTTTGTTGCAGAACATTTTAGTAGACGGTCACTGACAGGTAGGCTAGAAAACAATGATTCGGGGGTATGACAGCAGCTCTGTGATATATCAGACTTAACTACATGTTCACAAAGTTGTCTTTTTCACTGTAGTAGCATACATAACATGGTGCTTGGTAATCAACCTGCTGTTTTTTTATGTTCTTTCACCTCAGTGTAGTTCTTTAACAATGGGATTCTAATGTAATCTAAATGTTTAAAAAAAGAGAGAGAAAACCCAACTCAGTGATGTGTTGTTTTGTGTTTCAGTGAGCCCCTGCCTCAGTTACCCCTGTCTGAATGGAGGAACATGTAAGGAGATCAGCAACAAAACGTACACCTGTCAGTGCACTGAGGGCTTCGAGGGTACCAACTGTGAGGTGGAGATAACAACGAGCGGAGAACTGGGTACGGCCTGGTCAAACATCTGGTCAAGTCCAGCAGTTACTTATTTTACAACCCAAAATCAGAAAATTCTTTGTTCAAAATAAACACTCACTTCAATCCTGATACCTGCACCATATTCCAAAAAAAAGTTGGGACACTAAAGTATTTACCACGGTGTGATGTTGCTGTTCCTTTTCACAACACTTAAAAGATGTTTAGGGACTGAGGACACCAAGTGATTAGATGTGTCAGGTGTCGTTTTGTCCCATTCTATCTGCAAACAGTCCTGGGTCTTTGATGAGAGCAATTTGCATTTTAAAATGTGCCACACATTCTCTACTGAGGACAGGTCAGGACTGCAAGCAGGCCAGTCCAGCACTCACACCCTTTCCCTCCACAGACATACCTTGGTAATGTGCAGTATGAGGTTTTGGATTGTCCTGTTGAAATATGCATGGGTGTCCCTGGAAAAGATGTCATCTTGAAGGCAGTGTACGTATGTTGCTCCAATATCTCTGTGTATTTTTCAGCATTAATCGAGCCATCACAGAAGTGTAAGTGACCTTTGCCAAGGGCACTGACACAACCCCAGACCATGACAGACCCTGGCTTTTGGACTTGTTGCTGGTAACCATTTGGATGGTCCTTTTCGTCTTTGGTCTGGACCACACAGCATCCATTCCTACCAAAAAAGACCTGAAACACTGATTCGTCTGACCACAGAACACGTTCCCACTGTGTGATGGTCCATTCCCGATGCCTTGGAGCTCAGAGCAGTCGGCTGAGCTTCTGGACAATGGTGACATAGGGCTTCCTTTTGGTACAGTATAGTTTTAGGCAGCGTTTATGGATGTAACTACATATTGTAGTGCCTGACTTAGGTGTGCCAAAATAATCCTGAGCCCATGTGGTTATATCGCTTATAGAAGAGTGACGATTCTTGATCTAGTGTCGTCTGAGGGATCAGAGAGCACGATCATCCAGCTTAGTCCAAATCCCTCCAGATTCCTTGAATCTTTTAATGATATTCTGCAACGTAGAGGGTGACATGTCCAAATCCCTTCCTATCTTTCTTTGAGGAACATTGTTTTTAAATATTTCAATAATTTTCTCACACATATGTTGGCAAACTGGTGGTCCTCGGCCCATCTTTGCTCCTAAAGGACTCGACCTTTCCTGGAAGCCACTTTGTACCTGTTGACATCACCTGTTTCTAATGGAATCATCATTTCATTGTTTTATCTCATCACTAGTCCTGAAATGCAACCGTCCCTACTTTGTTTTGGAATGTGTTGCATGGATCAGAATTAAAGTGAGTTTATTTTGAACAAAGAATAAAGTTGATGAGGTATCACATCAAATAATGTGCTGCTGTATCGTTTTCCATGTAATACAGGACACAGATGATTTGCACCTCACTGTTCTCAGCTTTAATTTTGATTTTACATACCATCCCAACGTTTTCTGATTTGAGGTTGTAGCTGAACATCTACATCAGATTTAATGCTGCATACATTAACTATTTAGGCAGGTAATGCTGAAAGAAGGCAAAAGAGTCATTCATTACCTAAAGAATGTACTGCAGACACCTTTTCTACCAGGAGAAGAAAAATATGCATGAAAAGTTAGGAATATTATTAAAGTACTCATAGTAAGAACATTACATGCACCTCCTCAAACAAACTTCTTTGAATCAGATGCATAGGCTGATGAATAATACTAGTAGAGGACAGGATTAGAGCCTGTACACTGATTTATCATTCCCATAAGGATATTTTTATTCAGGCTAAACTATCACTGCATGACCCAATTTTTCTCACACAACATTTCAGCCCACATTATATTACAGTACCACAAACACTCATCCATACATCTTATAATTGGTTTTAAAATGTTTCAGTCCATGAACAACCTTTGCAACCAATGAATTGACACTTATAAAATTCATTTCCTATCCAAAGATCAAAGTCATTACACTTTGTAATAAAACATGGACTTCAGCCAACGGAAAAGGTCTATTAATAAAGTAATATACTGTGGTAAACGGGCTGAAATGTTGTGAAAAAATCTGGGTCATGTTAGTTTGTGCTGATTTCTCCAGCTGTGGTTTTGTACCTGGAAACAACTGATGAAGTCTGTATCTATGCCAGGTCAAGTTGAAAATACCTGATGAAGACTTCAAGTCAAAACATCGTGCAAGTGGTAGTTGGTCTAAAAGCAATCAATTTTATGAAAACATTAAATCAAGGTCCAGCTCTAATCTTTTTTCTCTACAAAGACTTACTCTCCCAGTATTTTAACATCGTGTTTAACATATGTTTTTATTTTTGCTGATAGTCAGTTGGTTCTAACTTTTTTTCCATTTGTTACAGAAACCAAGTGGATTATTCTGATTGCGGTCCTGGTCTCAGTCACTGTCATCATCATTGTGACTACCATTGTGTGTGTTTGCACTCGCAAATCCAAGTGAGTCTGTCATGTAATGTCAGAACACGTTTGCACAAGTATGTGCACAGGGGTTAGATTATGTAAAGTATATTTGTGTTTCAGTACTTTTGGCAGAACTCAACTCAACTTTATTTATAGAGCACTTTAACACAGCCAAAGCCAAACAAAGTGCTGAACATAAGATTCGATTTAAAACATATAACATGTGAACAACTACATTAATAAGAATAAAACAATAAAATAAAATAAATGAACCAAGATAGCAAAATAACAAAATACTATCCAAAACCAAAAGTCAGCAAACAGATTCTCATGCCATATCAAACGCCAAGGCATACAAATGGGTCTTCAAGTAAGTTTTAAGAATGGCCAACGAGGGGGCCTGCCTAATGTAAAGAGGCAGCGCATTCCATAGCCTAGGAGCCACAACGGAAAACGCTCTGTCCCCTCTAAGTTTACGCCTAGCCCTTGGTACCCCCAGCCGGAGCTGGTCAGCTGATCTGAGGCACCGAGAGGGACTACAAGGAAATAAAACTTCAAGAAGGTACAGTGGTGCAAGACCACTTAAAGACTTAAAAACAAATAAAAGAATCTTAAAATGAATCCTAAAGGACACCGGGAGCCAGTGAAGGGATGCCAAAATAGGGGTTATATGCTCCCTTTTACGCACTCCAACCAATAGACGGGCAGCCGCATTCTGAACCAATTGGAGACGAGCAAGTGACAACTGGCTGACTCCAACATACAGTGCGTTACAGTAATCCAAACGTGATGGAATAAATGCATGGATTACTGTCTCAAAATGCTGGTGTGCAAGAAAAGGCTTTACCTTCCCTATCTGCCTAAGGTGGAAAAAATTAGACTTCACAGCCGCATTAATTTGGCGATCAAATTTCAAACCAGAATCAATTTTTACGCCCAAATTCAAGATCGTCTGTTTCTCATACTGCACCAGGTGACCTAAGTCAACTGAAGGTGGGTCACCAGACTTATTTGGGCCAAACACTGTAACTTCAGTCTTCGTCTCATTAAGTTTTAACAAACTTAGGGTCATCCAGTCCTTGATGTCATCAAGACACGCCAATAATGGTTTAATTGAAAAGTTATCCTTCCTCTTTAGCGGCATATAAATCTGAATATCATCAGCATAGCAATGAAAAAGGGCACCATGCTTTCTCAGGATGGAACCAAGAGGTTGTAGATAAAGTGAGAACAGCAAAGGCCCCAAAACTGATCCCTGCAGAACCCCAAAAGACAGTGAGGATGTTGAAGATTCAGCGTCAGCAATGCCTACACACATGGACCTGCCAGACAAGTAAGGCCTAAACCATTCCAGGGCAGTGCCCCTAATGCCCACCATATCTTTAAGCCGGGATATTAAAATACTGTGATCAACCGTATCAAAGGCCACTAGCAGATCCAGCAGGACAGGGATCACATAATCATCTGCATCAGTTGCCAAAAATATATCATTGAAAACCTTTAATAAGGCCGACTCTGTACTATGTAAAGTTTTAAAACCAGATTGGAAGTCCTCCAGGACATTGTGCCGATCTAAAAAGGACTTCAACTGAATATAAACCACTCTTTCTAATATTTTAGAAATAAAGGGGAGCTTAGAGATTGGCCTAAAATTAGCTAATACCAAAAGGTCCATACCTGGTTTCTTAAGTAGAGGTTGCACTACTGCATGTCAGGGACACGACCAGTTAAGAAAGAGGTTTCATTTTCATTCCAGGTCACAGGTTTATGTAATTCAAAAGGAGCACTCAGCTCACAGTGGGTGAGAGAAAGTTACAAATCCATCCACTTTTTGAGAATACCGTATCAGCACTGGGAAAGGGAGGGTTTGATTCACTGGCTGCCTTCACTACTGATCTGCAAAGTCTGAAATCTTACCTGCAAGCACAGTGTGCTGTTAATCATGTTCATCTTTAAGTCTCACCTCACTTGTTTCTCTCCACAGGAAAAGGAGATATGAGGAGAAAAATCTCAGGATGAAATCAACAGGTAAGACTTGTCACAAACAGAGAAATAAACCTATGTTGACCAACTATGACTAAAACTCACATGGGTTAATTTTTAATCTTAGGACTAAGACTATATTTAAAATTAGCTTACACACTTGTTACTACTGCTGTAGATGATCGACCACAGTGCACACCTTGTCACTGTTATCTCTGTCACAGATTTGGCGCATTCACTTGTGAGCAAAACAGAACTGATATCCTGGGCTCTATTTCCCTGCAGTATGGTGCATTGCCAAACTTGTGTCTATCAAGACACAAAGCACACACGAGCGTTTTCAACAGTGTTTCACAGTTTTGGTGACCACCTGGCTGATGATGTGTTACCCACTTTATCTCCACCTACAGCTGCTTTCAAAGCTGATCAAATGGTCATAAAATGCAAAAACAGACAAAAAGTATATCCCCGCAGTAGTAACGAACGTATGTCTGCACAGTGAGGTCGGACTGACTTTACTTTACTGACTTTTTATTCGTGGTAGAACAGTGTCAGTGGTTGGACAACTGAGCGAAACCTGGCTCTCAGAGCTCACTGCTGTTACAAGCCAGTTGAACCAGCCACTGCTTAACCTAAGCAAATACAATGCAGACACTATATGTCAATCCACATATCTGGTCTTTGCTTGGGTGGGGATAGGGTTCGGGGATGCTTTGTGTTAAGGGTAGGTTAGGTCTGGAAAATGATGTTGCTTATTGTGGGGCTCTGAGGATTTATGACAGCATAGCCTGAACACCATCTCATTCATTGGCAAATTTAATTGTGCATTATTGACGGTTCAGAGTGAATTCCAGCCAATCAGTTGTGGATATAAAGCTTTATTTGAAGTTGGTGTGGCCATTAATATACATTTGGGTACCTGTTCTCATGCTTCCTGGCCTACACGCTTGTCAGAAAAAATGCAAATACACCTGTTATTGTGATGAGAGGTGGTCTGAACAGGTGCTATAATCATCCTTATTTTGGGTCAAAACAAGCACCCAAATTACACTGTGCTGCCTAATCAGCATACACATGGCCTCTCCTTCCACCTCAGGATAAGCACATTCATTCATGGCAAGAAAAGGCTATGACTCAAAACCATGTACAATCAGTGACAGTAATGCAAATAATAACAAGAAGATTGTCAGAAGTTCAGCATCACCAGGGGCATCAGTGATGAGGTGCATAAGGGCCTATGAGATGCACATAGACAGTAGTGCAAATGACCAACAGCAAGATATGACGGTAAAAAAACAGTCAGCAGCAGATTTACATGTAATATAACAAGAAGGGGGAATGTACTGGGTTTGTGCAAACAGCAGAGGTAGTCTTTATGTTCTGTGGTGGGTCACAGTCCAGGGGCAGAGTGGGGGAGGTAATGGACACCGTTCCGCATCCTCACAGCCTGGAGGATGAAGCTGTTTGTAAATCTGGTGGAGTGGGCCTGAAGACTCTGATACCTTCTCCCTGAAGGCAGGAGTCTGAAGTGGGAGGTGTCATCAGCAATGCTGATGGCTCTGCGGGTGTTGAAGATGTCCATAAGGGAAGGCAGAGGGGTGCCGATGACCTTGCTGGCTGTTTTCACTATGCGTTGCAGGGTCCTTCTGCAGGAGGCAGTACAGCCTCTGTACCACACAGTGATGCAGCAAGTGATGACGCTCTCAATGGTGCCCCAGTAGAAGGAGCACATGATGGGGGGTGGGGCACTGGCTCTCCTCAGTTTGTGGAGGAAGTAGAGGCATGTTTGAGCCTTCTTGGCCAGTGATGTGGTGGTGTTGGTCCAGGAGAGTTTATCAGACGTGCACCCCCAGGAACTTGGTGCTGCTCACTCTCTCCACTACAGCACCATCGATGGTCAGTGGGGGATGCTTTAGAGGTTTTCTTGTGGAAGTTCTAATGCTGATTATTTGTACAGCTCTAATAGCTTTCTTTTTCCCTTCTCTTTTAGGTGTTCCATATACAGACATAGACGACCAAAAACATGGCATGACTAGTATGTGATAAACAGTTTAAACTGGTATGTTTACCTGCTGTCAGAGGCCAACATGCAAAATCTGTTCTGAAGTTAATTCAATAGGGCTTCAACGAAAATAAAACCATTTGACAAATGTTTTTGTCTTATGAAAGGTGAGACTATACTGTAGGTGTCATTCATACTCTGTTTGTATTGCTTTGTTAGCTTATGCTTTTAAGATATTTACTTTGATGTCTTAGGTTTTATTAAAAATGTCCAAATCTCTCTGTGTGTGCCTTTAAGAGGATATGTACTCTTGGAATTAAATGTGGGGGAAAAAAAAAGTTTTTTTAAAACACCGACGACAAACACCTTTTCATTTTTACATACAACAGGCATTTTCAGCCACACACGGCAGGACATTTGGCACAGACATTCATGACAAATTAAAGATATCACAAAAAACCTCTGCCAGTCAGCTGGCACTTACAGCCATGCCTGGGATACCATCAGGTCCACCTGATTTGGTTGGCCCTCTCAAAGCATGTTCCGACCTCGGCTTGGGCGAGCCTGACCACTGAGCAGTCCATTTCACCGAGGGAGGCAGTTACAGTGTGCTGGTCTTCAACCTCAAACATGACTGAAAGCTTTTCAGTTCATCAGGCAAGGAAGTACTGTTGTTAAACTCACAGTGGCCATCTGTGATAGGGGTCCCCTGAAAGTTGACATAGCTGTGAAATGAATGACTTTCCCATGTGTCTCATGGAGCCACAGTGGACTCAGTTTCCACAGGTGTGTATGGATTAAAATGAACGCAGCTGAAAATCTAGATTTTCAACAGACCGAGGGATGAATGAATATCAACCAAAAACAAACACGTTATCCAGGAATGTTTTATATGTCAAACAGACATCATAACATTTCAAAACATATGTTTTACTCTCAAGTTCAACAATAATCTTCCTCACACAATGAATATGACTCCAAACATTTGAGCCAGTACAGAGAAGGTTCCATACCAAGGAATGACATTACAAGACACATTCATCTTCTTTCAAAGCCGACAGCCATCATACAGGACTGCGAAAGGTATGTCAGGGCCTATGACATGTTTTCAATGTGTAGCAGCTCAAACACTGCAATGGTACAAACCATACTGTATCTCAACAACTGGTTGGCTTTCCATTAAGTATTCATGGTTCTGAGAGGAAAACGACTTTGTTGATTCCATGACCCTCAAAATTCTCCTTAACCAACATGACAAGATCTATAACAAGTTTTTCCAAATCAAAGTCAGGGTTCCAATACAATACAATATTCACTTAGGTTTTAAGATAAAATCCTGTCACTATTTGCAGTCATTCATTTTTAAATACCTATTTTAAGGAAAGCCCTTTGGAATTGAACAACTAAAGAAACTTATTTGTTTCTATTTCCCATCATTGGTAACACTTAAGAGTAATCAGAAATAAAATAAAAACAAAAACAATGACAATGTTCTTATAAGGAATCACCCTATGAAATTCTTGGAACCCATAAATAAAGTATTAATGTTACCATTCGGTTTTTATTTATACGCCTGCTGAAACTGAACTTTCACTTCACATTTGCTTTGAGATCCCACTTGTCAAATCCATTTACATTATTTAGAAATCAGATATCACGTAGGCACTGTGGTCCAGCTTTGATACTAGTTTCTTCACCATCCACAGCAAGACTTTATGATTTAGATCCACTGTAGAAAATGTGATGTGGGAGGTTTTAGTTGTTCACTGTCCTCAAACAGCCCCATATTGCCTGAGTAAGTATTTTACTGAACAGAGACTGTGATCATCCTTTAATGTCAGTGTTAAAGATCTCATTCACTGTGATAAATTAATTCTAGGAGGAATCTCACCAAGTGCCATCTGGTGTTATTTAACCTATGCTACACAAATTCTGCTTGAATTATTGGACAATGAAATGAGAAGACCACACTGTAAAAGGTGCTAGTACAGTACACCGATGTACCGTTACATCATGCAGTGTACAGTACTGGATGTGAGAAGTCAAACTAAATACAAAAATATCTATTTAAAATCGGATTCTATGGAACTTAGAAGAATCCAACAACAATAAAATATGAGCATTAAGACAGAGTGAAATAAATCAGCCAGTGTAAAGCCCACACACATTAAATTCTGTCCTATAGTCATAAAAGACTTGTTTTCCAATGAATATCAATCTGAATGCAAACACTTCCTCCCTAGAAAGATGCAAGCCTTCAAGTCTGAGTTGAGATGCAGCAGTCATCCAGTGTAAACCTGTTTGTAGTTCAGTTTATAAAACGCATGAGAGGTAAAAAGTTTAAAATGAAATGTCAGCTGGCACATGTTAAAGGACATTTAATTGAAAGGTGAATAAATAGGTTGTAGTTTAAAATCTAACAGATGCAAACTTCCCAATACAGAGCAGCATCTGTCATACTGTAACTTATTTAAAAGGAGCAGTCTACATTTGGGAATTTTCTCTATTTGATTTTTTACCAGATTTCCTGGATCAGCATCATTTTTATATCCTGATGCTCTGTACAGGAATACTGTAGTTTTTTTTTTCAAAATGTGTTTCGTTTTGGAATGTTTAAGCCGTAGAGGGACATATAGTATACAAAGTGGATGTGTCCACAAAATATTGAACAGTTTCTTTATCAAGGCAAATCCAAACTGCTGGATCCATCCAGCTTCATCTGTGCTCCCTGACAAATGCAGGTAAACCTAGGGTTTCCTGACTGAATACTACAAGGAGACAAGAGCTGCCACTTAGAAAAAGACAATAAATAATACTCCCACAAAACTCCCATAAATATACTATATCACCCTGACAATAACCAATAAGAAGGCAATAAAAATGACCCATTAAGTAAAATGGAATGAAGACAAAGAAAATGTGCAAAACCCTAATAACGGCTCTGAAGGGATAAAAAAAAAACCCACCCAGTGAAAGGATAACCCAGTGAAATGATAAATTGTTGTGGCTCCACATGCACTTTCAATCTCTACTGAGCCCGCTCTCCTCACCACATCAGCACCACTCCTCCTCTCTGACTCTCCTTCCATCACTCCATCTAGGAATGCCTCCGTCAGGCTCTGGTGTCGGGACAGGGGGACCAAACACAGATGTGTGTGTCTCCTGTACAAGCTTCCTCTTCAAGTCACCTGACAGGAAACATACAGCGACAACTGGCTTAACATGCTTTGACTGGTTTTATCACTGAAAGATTATCAATTTAGATTTTTCATATTTTGTACATTAGGCTTGTATGTTTTATACCTTCACACCAAAAAAACTGCAGATGTAGAAAGAAATGTGTGAGGTGACAAATCTAGGACCATATTCACAAAACATTCTGAGGTTACAAGTAGCTCCTAATGGCTCAGTTAGGAGAAATGGCAAAATATAAGCATTATATTTTCTTAGGGCCAAAAACTGAATGTGAACAGACTCAAACCCGGAACCTTCTTGCTGTGAGCCGACAGCGCTAACCACTGCCCCACTATGTTGCAAGATCAAGATTCCTTTGTCATTTTTATTCTCCACATAAAGACAAAATTGTGTTCCACATATGCTATCTACTACTTTCGGCTGTTCCCGTTAGGGGTCGCCACAGCGAATCAACTGATCGCATGTATACATTTGGCACGTTTTACACCGGATGACCTTCCTGACGCAACCCAAATTGGGATATACAGTATATATATGCACTAATATGGGCAATTTAGAGTCACCAATCAACCTAACTTGCATGTCTCTGGACTGTGGGAGGAGGCCGGAGTACCCGGAGAGAACCCACGCAAGCACAGGGAGAACATGCAAACTTCGCACAGAAAGGCCCCAAACCCGGGACCTTCTTTCTGTGAGGTAACAACGCTAACCACTGCGCCACCGTGCTGCCCTTTGTGTTCCACACATCCACCTATTTTATTTAGGCCAACAACTGTGGTGGCTTTGGTGAACTTTATGATGTGGTTGGTGTTGAACTAGCAGAATGGTCAATGCACCAGCAGCGTAAACAGTAAAGGGCTCAGTACACAAAAATCCATCTGCAAACACCAGGATCCACACTCAGCAGCAATTTTTCAGTGAGCTGTTGTGGCGAAATTGTGTTGAATGTGGAGCTAATTAGCAGGATCCAAATGTCTTTGTATTCCAGGTGAGTCAGAGCAAGGTGGACAGGGTGGAGATGGCGTCCTCTGTAGACTGGTTTGCTCTCTATGCAAATTGCAACATGTCCAAATTGGATGGGAGGCATGACCTGATGTTATTCATAGCAAGCTGCTCAAAGCATTTTATGGCTATGGGGGTCAAGGCTGCAGGGCAGTAATTATTCATGGAGGATGGATTTGGTGTCTTGGTGGCACTTTTGAAACAGAAGGGCACTCTAGCTCAGCTTAGGGAAATGTTGAATATGTCCATGAAGATGTCTGTCTGTTCTGCACAGTCCTTCAGCACCCAGCCTCAGATGTGATGTGATCTGGACCAGCAGCCTTCCCAGGGTTGATGTTAGGGAAGACTCTCTTCACACTGTGTGGAATCAGCTGGAGTGCCTGGTTGGTGGGAGGCAGTGCCTGCCTTCATGCTGCTTGGTTGTCTGTATCCTCAAATTAGGAGAAAAGGTGTAGAGGTTATCTGGTAGGGAGCTTATCTGTCTGTTGCCTGTATAGCCTGTAGCTGTGTGGAATCCCTGCCATAAGTGCCTTGTGTCCTTGGTGGGAGTGAAATTGCTGGATAACTTTTCCCATATACTCTTTTAGCCTCTCTGATTCCTCTTTTTAGCTTGCTCCTTGCTATGTTGTATGCTTCAGTGTCACCAGACCTGAATGCAGCATCACAAAGCTTCAGCAAAGAATGGACCTCCCCAGATAGCCAAGGAAATATCCTTGATCAGAATAAAGCTGAGAGCTGGTTTGTTTACAGCTGCATAGTATGTTCACAGCCCTAGCTCTCGTTCCGTTTTTGAATGACAGACTACCACCACCACCACCTTCTGGTATGGAGAGTTATTTCCTCTCATGCAGGTGCAGAACATACTGTACATGCTAGTTGGCCACTGGCTGTAGACCAGCAAAGCTGATGTGAGGTTACAGTTTGCCTTTGTTGCTGCTAGTTCTGTGATGTTGGCTTGGTGTGTCTCTGCCCTTACATAATAACCAAGCCTGTTCTGTATCAGGTTTCTCCAAGTTTTTACCGATTGCAAGTACTTTCACTGTAGAGCTGAAACAGGTGCTAAAATGTATTTTAATCCTGAACTCACTAAATGCATAAATAGTTGTGATATCAAGGATGGCTCATCAGACTGTCACAGTGATAAACTGTTTTCTTACCTGCTCTGTGCCTCTTGGACTGGTTCCAGCACCAACACCTTACAGGCTCTCTTGGCTATTTTGTCCAGTGAAATGAGGGCACGCTCAGGTGGCAGGTAGGGGGCTCTACCAACTGGAGATCCTACAGGAGGTGTGATGGCCTGATGCTCCATCACACTGCCTGATCTGGAGTCAACAGAGACAGTGTCATGGATGATAAACAGGAATGTGTAGGCCTGTCTGTTAAAGTCTCTTGTATTCTGCATCATGGTCGTGTCTTACAACCACATCTGAAATGTGATGTATTGCCACAAATACAGCTGGCTAAAATTTGACGCAACATTTGCGAAAGAACATTTATAAAATGAACATCAGTTTTTGATGTCACTTGTATCAGCGAGATGTTGAGCTGGTTTTGAATATTACATGTAATTCTCAGTATTTAAAAGCAGAGTCGTAGAATCAGTGATCTGATTTCATATTACATGCATTATTGAACAAAATAAACAACAATAAAATCATTAATCATCATTGGGGGTGGCTGTGGCTCACGAGGTAGGGCAGTCGTCTCCTGACCAGCAAGTTGGTGGTTCGACTCCCAGTCTCCCTGCATGCCTAAGTGTCCCTGAGCAAGACACTGAACCCCAAATTGCTCCCGGTGGCTTGATTAGCGCCGTTGTGTGGCAGCTGTCGTCATCGGTGTGTGAATGTGTGCGTGAATGGGTGAATGGTGGTATGATCTCCCTGTAAAGCGCTTTGGAAAAAAGCGCTATATAAATGCAGTCCATTTACCATAGTCTCACAGCCAAAAAAATGCAGTATCCAGGGTCTGGCCAATAGATGGTGCCAATCCAGCCATCACTGCTGAGGGGGAAGTTGGAGGGGGCAGGTGTGGACCAACACCTGTCCTACCTCACAAACGGACCTCAGTTCGTAAGGCTGCACAACTGTGTGTCGGATGTGGTAGTCTTGCGAGGGGTTACTGACTTTGTGGAGTGGTGTGAGAAAAATCACCTGGTCCTGAACACAAGCAAGACAGAGATGGTGACTGACTTCCGGCAAGAGATCAGCAGCACTCACGCTGTTGAACTTTCAAGGCTCAGATATTGAGAGTGTGGACACCTTTAAATACCTGGGTGTCCACCTCAACAATAAACTGGATTGGACCAACAACACAGATGCCCTGTACAAGAAGGGCCAGAGCCGCCTCCACTTGTTGAGGAGACTGAGGTCCTTTGGTGTGCGCGGGGCACTCCTTCAGACATTTTATGATACTGTGGTGGCATCTGCAGTTTTTTACACTGTTGTGGGTTGGGCAGGAGGTAGCACGGTCAGGGACAAAAAGAGACTGGACAAGCTAGTTAAGAGAGCTGGTAAAACTAACATCCATCATGCACAACCCCTCCCATCCCCTGCACCACACAGTGGAGACTGAACAGTTCTTTTAGCAAGAGACTGCTACATCCCCCATGTAAGAAGGAGCGTTACCATAGGTCATTCCTCCCCACAGCCATCAGACTGTACAATACATCACTGCAGGGATAAGATAGGTGAAAGTATCTCACGTCTTTACTGCTCCTCTGGTCTGTTCTACAATTTTTCACATCTTCTACATTTTCAAGTCTTTGAACAAATTCTACAACTATTAAAATGCCTCCAAGAGGGAAAAGAGCTAATAAATCAGATGCAAATGAGGATGTTGAAGCAGAAGAGGATTATATTTCAGCGGCGCAAGTAACAGAGATGTTGAGTCAGCAGAAGCAGATGTACACCGCACTGTTGAGCCAACAACAAGACAACTTCAAAGGTTTTGTGCAACTACTTATGGAGACAAATAACAAGAGACTCGACGACATGACCAGAGAAATACAGGAGATAAAAACAAGTTTGCAGTTTACCCAGCGAGATGTGGATGTGATTAAAGCAGCCATGGGTGAACAGAAAATACAAACCAAGGAAACAAGGGATGATGTCTACAAAACTTGTGAGAGTCTAATAGCCATAACGGATAAAATGGAGCATTTGGAAGTACAGTCCAAGCGAAAAAACCTGATCTTCGAGGGAATCAAGGAGTCAGCTGGAGAAAGCTGGACGGATGCGGAATGTAAGGTGAAGGAAATATTAAAGGAGAAACTGCAAATTCATCAAGAAATTGAGATGGAGCGGGCTCACAGAGTCGGGAAACCTTCTGATCGGGGACCGAGGGCGGTGATGGTAAAGTTGATGAAAGAGAAAGATAAGGCACACATACTGCAACAAGCAAAGAAGCTTAAAGGATCTAATATTTATATACAGTGCCTTGCGAAAGTATTCGGCCCCCTTGAACTTTGCGACCTTTTGCCACATTTCAGGCTTCAAACATAAAGATATAAAACTGTAATTTATTGTGAAGAATCAACAACAAGTGGGACACAATCATGAAGTGAAACGAAATTTATTGGATATGTCAAACTTTTTTAACAAATAAAAAAACTGAAAAATTGGGCGTGCAAAATTATTCAGCCCCCTTAAGTTAATACTTTGTAGCGCCACCTTTTGCTGCGATTACAGCTGTAAGTCGCTTGGGGTATGTCTCTATCAGTTTTGCACATCGAGAGACTGAAATTTTTGCCCATGCCTCCTTGCAAAACAGCTCGAGCTCAGTGAGGTTGGATGGAGAGCATTTGTGAACAGCAGTTTTCAGTTCTTTCCACAGATTCACGATTGGATTCAGGTCTGGACTTTGACTTGGCCATTCTAACACCTGGATATGTTTAGTTTTGAACCATTCCATTGTAGATTTTGCTTTATGTTTTGGATCAGTGTCTTGTTGGAAGACAAATCTCCGCCCCAGTCTCAGGTCTTTTGCAGACTCCATCAGGTTTCCTTCCAGAATGGTCCTGTATTTGGCTCCATCCATCTTCCCATCAATTTTAACCATCTTCCCGGTCCCTGCTGAAGAAAAGCAGGCCCAAACCAGGATGCTGCCACCACCATGTTTGACAGTGGGGATGGTGTGTTCAGGGTGATGAGCTGTGTTGCTTTTACGCCAAACATAACGTTTTGCATTGTTGCCAAAAAGTTCGATTTTGGTTTCATCTGACCAGAGCACCTTCTTCCACATGTTTGGTGTGTCTCCCAGGTGGCTTGTGGCAAACTTTAAACGACACTTTTTATGGATATCTTTAAGAAATGGCTTTCTTCTTGCCACTCTTCCATAAAGGCCAGATTTGTGCAGTATACGACTGATTGTTGTCCTATGGACAGAGTCTCCCACCTCAGCTGTAGATCTCTGCAGTTCATCCAGAGTGATCATGGGCCTCTTGGCTGCATCTCTGATCAGTCTTCTCCTTGTATGAGCTGAAAGTTTAGAGGGACGGCCAGGTCTTGGTAGATTTGCAGTGGTCTGATACTCCTTCCATTTCAATATTATCGCTTGCACAGTGCTCCTTGGGATGTTTAAAGCTTGGGAAATCTTTTTGTATCCAAATCCGGCTTTAAACTTCTCCACAACAGTATCTCGGACCTGCCTGGTGTGTTCCTTGTTCTTCATGATGCTCTCTGCGCTTTAAACAGACCTCTGAGACTATCACAGTGCAGGTGCATTTATACGGAGACTTGATTACACACAGGTGGATTCTATTTATCATCATTAGTCATTTAGGTCAACATTGGATCATTCAGAGATCCTCACTGAACTTCTGGAGAGAGTTTGCTGCACTGAAAGTAAAGGGGCTGAATAATTTTGCACGCCCAATTATTCAGTTTTTTATTTGTTAAAAAAGTTTGAAATATCCAATAAATTTCATTCCACTTCATGATTGTGTCCCACTTGTTGTTGATTCTTCACAAAAAATTACAGTTTTATATCTTTATGTTTGAAGCCTGAAATGTGGCAAAAGGTCGCAAAGTTCAAGGGGGCCGAATACTTTCGCAAGGCACTGTAAAAATTACTGCAGGTAGTGCAATGTAGGCCTAACTTCACAAAGGTTTATTCAGCTACTGTACAATGCTGACAAAATACTAAAGTACAGCTAAAGCTTATATATGTAAGGCTCCTGACAAAGGATCTCCCAGTTCTCCCAGGTCATTTTTCACAGAAACACCTTTTTATATTACAGTCCACACCAACAACACAGTAGTTTTGGAAAATAACTAAGTACATTTACT